ATGAAGCTCTTGACGCAGGCGACTGCGTTTTGGTGCACAGTCACTTTGGTTTGTCACGTAGTCCAGCGCTGATAGCGGCATACTTCATTGTGAAATATGGCTGGAAGCTTGACAATGCCCTTTCGTTTCTTGAGATGGCACATAAGGACATGTGTATCAAGCCACATTTCTTGCGGCAGCTTCGTATGTTTGCCAAACGCAATTCTGTAGACCGTGATGTTTTTGACCCCGATGTAGACGACTCAGAGTTTGGTTTAGATAATGATCAATGGATGCTCCGCAACACATTGCTTAATGGACTGACATTTGAAGTTCAGGGTCATAATGGATTGTACAGGTTGTGTACGAGTAAAGTGGAATTAGGAAACCCGATTGAATTGCGTAAAAAAACACCGGCTAGAAAGAGCAAACGCATTGTGTTTATTGATACAAAGCAAGGAACACATGTGGACTCAGAATCTGGAACACCAGTTGTAAATGTACAGTCGTTGCAGCAGCTTGACTCAAGCAATCACTTTCTTGGGTATCACGGTTCCGTGTCATTACGCAGTTGGCACCGTTGCAGTAGTATCATGAGTCGCAGCATTACTCCGTGCAGCCGCCGTGCAGAGTCTGATCCACGCACCAACCCGCGTGGGCGACAGGAACTGACTGTTCGCTCGGAGTCAAAAATAGGACGCAGTGCCTCCATGCTGGATGGGAACAGTTCATCAGCAGCGGCGCGCACGGCAAGTGGACACTCCACATTGGAAGGAGGGATTTATGGGGGAATGGACTCCCGCCACATTGCACCGCCAAACACAGTTCACGCTCCGGGCCGATCACCATTTGCAGCACTTACCTCCAGTCATAAGTACCGTAAAGGCTCTCCACTGCCTGCGTCCACGCATGATAAGAAACCTTCTCGTCTCTCCCAACGTCCCTCCTCTGCAAGTGCATCGGAGGCCAATTCTAGAATGCGAGCTACATCTAACCTGGTAGCCTCAAGGGCAGCTCGCACCTTTGTAACACGTACCTCTAGTCCAAATGCACTTGGAGGAAGCCTCACTTCCGCGTCACCTGCAGCCTCAGCTCGTCTCTCGAGCTACAAAAATATCACTCCGCATCGATCGCAGCCAGGGAATGGGGTGGCTTCTGCATGGGACAGCAATAAGTCACGAGAATCGCCATCTGTGGTGCAGCGGTCTTCACTCCGCAACAGTCCACAGGGCTCCCGCCGCGGTTCCCCTGCAGGTCGACCAAATTCAGCCATAGTGCGAGTTGCCTCGCCTAGTGGAGTTAGATTGGAGAATTCCGACAGCCGCAATGCAAACGGAGGAAGTAATGCCGCAAAAACAGGAGGGAGCGGGATACTTCGTCGCCAATCTCCCTTGGTTATATCCTCTGTTAGACGTTCTTAGATGTATTAAATTTTATCTCTTGCTTGTTTGAATCCAATTTCATTTTGTTTTATTGCTTTCCGGATCAAAATTTGTATTTAAGAGATAATCTATACTTGTATTATAATTGGACGAAAGCCTCCCAAATAAAAAGAAGGAAGGCGAAGAATGAATGGGAAACCAAAGAAGGGAAAACAAGGAAATTGTAAATACCTCTGAAGACCAATTATATGCCTTAACCGTCAATTTTTTTAAATTTTCTTACTCCTTATATATATATATATATATATGTATTTGTGTGCTTGTGCGCCATGCTTCTGTTTCTTTTTCTCCCGTTGCTTGCTCATGCTTGGCTACATACTCACCCTTCCTTTGTGAATGGATTTACGGTTATATATGTATTTCCCAAATTAAACGACAAAGTTGTGTGTGCGTGCGCGTGTTTCTGCGGAGTGGAGTGGGGACAGAGCCATCATTGACTGCCGTTGATGCCGGCACACAGTTGGATGGGGGGTAAATCGCGGGGGTCAAGACAGGTGAGGCGAGACAATAAAGAGGCTTACTTATTGCTGCGTTGGCACAAGAGTGGGGGCTAAAAAACAACAACACAAAACCCAAAAGTGAACGAAATGAAGAAGCCAAAATGAGTGCAGTTTGAGAGTGAAAAGGACGAGGCAGCAGCTGAATTGCGTATTTTTGTTCGCCATCCATCTTTTTTTTTTTTGAATATGTGGGGTGTGGAGGTTTGGGCTGGTGAGAATGGTGGGAAAAACGGGATGGGAGGACAAGTTTCCTACGCCTTTACGCTGGTACGCCAACTGCTCGCAAGAAACGAATAAACACGCTAAAAAAAAAATAATAATTGAAAACAAAAAATGCAAAAGTGGGGATAAGAAAAAGGACGCATGCAGCTTGGAAACTCTTGGAATAGGCCGGGAGATCAGATCAAAGGAAGGGGGGAAAAGAAAAGAAACGTCACAAATGAGGGGATAGAAATAATTAATTCCTCTTTTCCGTTTTTTCCAGACATAAAAAGACAAAAAGAGACGAATTTGCAGAGGCGCAAGTAATTGTGGAATTGAGAGCGAGAGAGAGAGTGTGTGTGTGTTTATAAGGGGCTGCGGAAGTGTGCCGTCTGGAGCAGGGATTTGACAGCTTGTTGCTTGCCTTTTTTATCTACCGTTTTTGGATGAAATTCGCTTTTTCTTTCTTTCTTTTTTTTTTCTTTTCTTTTTTTTTCTTCGTGTTTTTTTTTGTTTCTGTGTATCATTCCTTTTCCTCACTGGTTGCTGTGAGCCGCACAGCCTACCATTTGTTTGTGATTTACGAATTCATCTTCTTTTTTTAAAAAATTTATCACCGTCACTCTCTACGATTTCTCCTTTTTCTTTTTCTTTTTTTTTCATTGTCTTTACCACAATTACTGTGGTTAGCGATTTATTGCTCTTCTCCATTGCGGTCGCGATGTCTAAGGGACACGTTGTATTCGATGACGAGGGGGAAATTTTTGAGGATGATCCGACGGTGGGCCGCGGAGTGCCGAGAGACGAGGCAGGGCAGATGGACTGGCAACCACTCACACCGGCAGTACCGACAGAGACGCTGAAGGCGGTTGTAGAGGCGGCATTGGCAAACATGCCCCAGTCGCCTTGATGGCGAGAAGGGGAAAACCCGTTGATTGTGATAATGAGAGTATGCATCTTGTTGATATAGCGGCAGTGTGGATGCGAGAGTGACTCTGTTGCTTTGCTGCTTTTTTAATTCCACAGCCTTTTTAAAGGTTTTTCTTTTCACTAAAGCAGCGCAATACTTTAATATGTATATATATATATATATATTCTGCTATTTCTCTCTTTCACTTTGGTTTTCATGTATTTAAAGCAGCAGGACGCCAACGCTTCCTCTCGCTTTTTTCATATATACACAATTAATCAGACGTGGCCTGTTTATCCGGGCGGTGAAACATTTTAGGAGGAAGGCACTGCCACGAGGGGAATCTCAATGACGTACAGTGTTAGAAAACTGAGACTCCTGGTGGATGATCCGGGCGGCACATTGCGGGATAACTTGGCCATTGCACAGTCTTTTTTTGCCGCCGAGGATGACAGAGAGTTGGAGGAGTTCCGCAGTTTGATGGATCTTGAGGTGCACTACGCCAACTTTTGGGGTGTAGCGCGTGGTCCCCATGCCGCGCTCGCTGTATTTGACAATGAGCGTTCTGCCTTGCGTCTTACATGGCCATCACGGGTGATGGCACTCACAGCCAATACCTTTGAGCGGCGTGGCTATGTGCATTTTCTGTCGGGTGGAGTGGCGTCGATCCCGGGCATTGGAAACTGGTTGACACGGTTCACGCAAAGTCGCGTGCGTGAGTCATTGGTGGTGAAGGACGGGAAGGTTAAATTTCGTGACCTGAGCTTTGAGTGGGGGCTTGCTGTTCATTGAGTTACCTTTACGCTCTTTGGACGATGAGATGGAGCGAAGAGTGGCACTGTGAGGATTTAGCATGTTTCATTTTTTTTTTTTTTGTCATCTGCTTGTCTCCAGACCTGCTGTGTCGATGGCACTCAAGTCAGCACAGTTTTTTTATCCTCCTGAGTAGTAACGCCTTTGGGGGAGTGTAAATGAGGGGGTGGGAGGAATGGGCGAGTGACGGTGGAAAAACGCTCATCTACCAAAAAGATAAAATGTTTTCTTGACGTATTAGCCTTCATTTGCAAAGCCGACGGCGTGCCTCAGAAATCCGCGGTGGTCATCCCATAAGCGCCACACAGCGTGTTCGTTTTATCGCGTTGTTCATATATTATTGATTCGGCTGGCGCCACACGGATGGGAATCATCTACAGGCGTGTCACTTCACTCTCGCGAATGGGGAAGAGCAGGGATATACATTTATTTATGGGTCTGGTGGGGGGGACGCAAGTAAGAAGCATGGAGGGCGTTTCGTCAGTTGCGTTCTTGATCAACTTTGGGGGGGGCGAGAAGACTCTGTGGCGTTGACATGAATTTAGTTTTATTTTTTCCACCGATTTTTTCTCTCCTTATCCGGAAATATGTTTTTTTTTCTTCTTTTTCTTGTTCTGGAGATGCATTTGGAGTTCTTTGTGCCTTTTTTTTTTTTTTTGTAGTGTTTTCTTACTGAAAATTTTTGGTTGATGCGACATACGAGAAAACACTTCAAAAAGAGGGGCAGGGATGATCTTCCCATGGTGGACATGGAGCGGGAGGTGCGGGACGTTGCCAGCAGCAACGATGTGCGCACGCTTGTTCAATTATTCCCCGAAGAAATCGAATTCCTTTTAATGAGGCTGCCGCCTGTGACAAAAGTTGAAGACCTTGACACTCTTTCAGAAAGGCTCTCAGGCTTAGGTGGAAAGGAGGAACTTGGATTCTCTCCTCTTTTCTGTCCTCTGTTGATCGATGCGGCGTGTCAGCGTGGTATTTTCCCACTGGCCCTGTCAGCTGGCGGTGACCGATACATATTCGCCCCAAAGTTGCATTATCACCGATGCTTGACGCAACTTGAACCGCCTGTCGAGGGCTTTCCTATGGCCAACGATGCAAAGGAGGGAAAATTTCAGGTTGGTCTTCTGCAGGTCTCTAAAAAATATTTATCTGGAAGAAACGAAATGACCCGCGCGAGATCGTTTGATGTATTTATCAACCGCAAAGAGGATATTGCCCCAGCACTCTCTCTTATTGTCTCCCAACACGGCGAAAACTGGATGTGCCGTGCCCTTCGTGCCTGCTTTGTCCATATGTTTCTTAACCAGGAGCGATATCGCACCAAAATTGTCGTTGTGACTGTTCGCCGTCATTGCTACGGTGCCGATTCACGCGAGAAAGCGAAAACGGCGGACGAACGTGTGCGTGATTTTGCCGAAGGTGACCATGTAGAAGAGGGGGATTTAGTTGCCGCCGAAATTGGCTTCATTGCTGGGGATATTTACACCTCCGCGACCGGAGCTTACAGTTTAAGCGGTTCGGGGACCTTGCAGCTGGCGGTCACCGGAGAGGCGATGCGTTCTGTTGGGTGCAAGGTGTGGGACCTGGGGATGGCGATGGCCTACAAGAGTCAAGTGCTGGGGTGTGTTACCTTCCCACGTGAAAAATGGCTGCGACTTGTGCGGGAACACGTGGCTGACACGTCTTTGGCAGAAAAAATTGAAGGGCGTTTGCGGGAGAAATTCAGCGAGGGCGTGGCGGTGCGGACACTTTTTTCACTCGCTGACAAGTGAAGTCAAATTGGGTATTCAATGAAGCGAACGATTTGTAACACAGTGTTTGCTCCTTATTTGCGGCTTTGGAGGGCTGTTTCTTCTCTGTTTCTACTGCCTTCTTGTGTGATGGACAGGATGTTGCTGCCGCTTCTGCTTCTGGCGGTGGCGGAAATCTTTCAAATGTGGACTCCTTCTCAAATGGTGGGTTTTTAATGGAAATATTTTTCTTCTCACTTCGTCTTCCCACACACAATTAAAAAATTTTTTTTTTTTTTTTTCTCTTTTCCCCTCTGTTGTTTGCACACATGTACTGTTGTTGTCATGTGGATGTCTCTGCTGAAGAGGAGAGCATGCCCGCCAGAAAGAAAGAGGTTCCAAAGGCAGAGGCCCCCGCGCCGCGAACCGGCATCATTGCTGGATTCAACAAGGGCCACAAGACCACCCGCCGCGCTCGCGCCCCTTCCTCCAATGATCGTTACGCCCTTCCGCACAAGAAACTGCGGGCGGTGAAGGCGATCATCACGGATCTTGTCGGTCTTTCTCCCATGGAAAGACGCGTGCAGGAGCTGCTGCGCGTTGGCAAGGACAAGCGTGCACTCAAGTTCTGCAAGAAGCGCCTTGGCAACTTCAAGGCCGCCAAGAAGAGACGTGCCAAGATGGAGGAGGCCCTTCGCCACCAGACCAAAAAGAAGTAAAACGTTGTGTGGGAACGATGCGTCTTTGGCCTTTTCTGGGAGTTTTCCTTCTGTACATATATATATGTGCATGCTCACTTTTTCTTTTATTATTATTATTTTTATTTTTTTGCTTGTGGGGCGTTCTACAACGGTTTCATCCATTTTTGTTTTCTTTGGCTTTTTTTTTTTGGGATGTGCATTATTTCTGCCCATAAACTGTCGTTCTGTTTTATACCTTGGTTTTTTCTGTTTTTGTGCAAATACTTGGAACCTTTTTTTTTTTCTTTTTCTCGTTTTTTTTTTTTTTTTTGTGTGTGTCTGTTGCCCCATTCTAATGAGAAGTGGAGACCGCACTGGCGTTGGTATGGGGGAAGACATGGCCCAGCGTGGGGCGATGAGGCCGCACTGCACCTTTTGCTTTTTTTGTTGAGCTGCTGAGTTGGCGGTGTTGTGATGGTGGTGGTGGATCTTCTCGAGTGGCACCAAAAGTTTTCTAAAACAGAGTGGGAGGTAAAGTGGCGGAGACATGCAGGCCGAACGTCAATTCCTTAATGCCACTCACGGCCCACAGACGTTCTGCCTCGTTACTCACTCATCGAGGCTGACACAGATCTTGTGAAGTGTGTGTGTGTGCATTTAGTGTGACAAAGAAGATGTATACGTACAACAACAACAACAACAACAACAAAAAAAAAAACGTCTTGCTTAATTTATGTGTTATTTTTACAAGAAAAAAGAAAAAGAAAATAAATTGATTTTGAGGGGGTTTAGAAGAAGAAATAACTATGAATAGGGGAAATGCGTGGATATCATATGCCCTGTTTCTACACCTTCTCTCATTGATCGAAACAACAGCCAGAAAAAAAGAAGTAGTCGTTGGAGTCTCCCTCCTTTTTACCCAAAGGAGAAGTGGAATCGAAAAAGGGGGGAAAAAAGGCAGAAAGGAAGAAACAATACAGAAGGAAGGGGACAAGTTGGCAAGTACTTGAGGAGGGAGACTGCTGGGGACGCGGTAGTCTTACAGGGTGGGGTGAGTGATATCGGCGAAGGGGCGTGAGGCGGAACAGTTACAGATCCACCAAATGACACAACGCGTCTCTACGGTGGCAAGTGAAAAGGTTCTGCTTCCACGGGAGTCCCTCACGGAGGCAGAGAAGTGGCGATATGCCATTGACAATACCCTTAAGTTGTGTGGCCTAGGCTTTCTCAGTGGCGCTGCGTTTTCGCTTATCGTGTTTCGAAACGTCGGGCCACGGATAGCGGTGACGGCGTTGGGCGGTGGCTTTGGCCTTGGCAAGTCATATGTGGACATGAGGTATGTGTTTGGACACGAAGTTGTCGCGGAGGCGGTTTGGACGGCAGAGGTGGTAAAGAGAACAAACCACGGCACGGCCGCATTTAATGAGGGAGAGACTGCTGGCCCCCAATAGAGGAGGGAGGATGAGGGAGGAGGTGGAGGCGCGGTTAGTGGAATGGCACAGCAGTCCGGGGAATATTCGTCTGCAAGTAAGGCGAGGGATGACACGCACCCTCACACAGGAGTATTTTTGGGAGTGTACGGGAAATTGGCATGTGTGCAAGTGAGAGGAGGGAGAGAAAGAGAGGGAGGAAGTTTGCACTTTCTCTCACTCACTCTCTCTCTCTTTGCCAGTGTTTACGGTGCCATTTGTGCGTCTTTTGGCTGGCGTTGAAGTATTTGTTTTCCTTGAAAATTTTTTTTTTTAAACGCTTATGATTTTCATGGGTGCTAACTTTGGTTTTAATTACAAGTTTGCCCCACCACTACTTATTATTATTGTTGTTAATTTTAGTTTAAACCAGTTGTTGCGAATCTGCAGGGGAATTGAAGGGAATACAGCTCCTTGTACACATAATTACACGCTGATATTTACTGAAAGAAACGGGAAAAGATGATGCGCCGCCTCGCTCTTCAGCCTGTCGCACGTCGTGCGGTTGCCACGTCTCCATCTGCTTTGGTGGTGCGTAGGGCGTCGACCGTCGCCATTTCCGTGCAGGGCCTGCATTACGTTGGCACGGGACTTGCCGCCATCGCACTCGCGGGTGTCGGTCTTGGCATTGGCACCATCTTCGGCAACCTGTTGGTGGCCTGTGCACGCCAGCCAAACTTGACGAAGATGTTGTTTAACTACGCCATTCTTGGATTTGCCCTGACGGAAGCTATCGGTCTCTTCGCACTCATGCTTGCCTTCCTGATGCTCTTCTCGTAGAGTGGAGGAGGATGTGTGTTATATGTGTGGACGATAAATGTGCCAATAAAAACAAAGACTCGCACAATTGTCGTGGAGGTGTACATGTAAGTAAGGGAGGATCGCATGAGGGGAACCGCTTCAAGTGGAAATGAGAGAGAGATAGAGAGAATTACATCCCACGCACTTATTGCAGGGGAAACAGCAACAACAAGCAAGAAGGATAAAGAATTGCGAAATTATGACGACAAGAAGGACTCCCCAAAGAGCCGTCAAAGGAAAGGGGAGGAGAAGTGAAGAAAATGTAAGAAATCGCCCGGTTGGTGAGGGAAATAAGGAGGAAGAGGGGAAGAAGGCAGAGAAGAGAAGTAGTGGGAGGGCGGAGGGCTGTTAGAAATCCACCTATGTGTGCGTGTGCGTGCCCCACACCCAGCAGTGTAATTATAGAGAAGAGGAAGAAGTGAGTAGCTGTCGGTGGGCGGGCGAATCCCCTTGTCGTTCCTGCCGGGTTGACTTCTTTTCTCTATTTTTTTTTTTTCTTTTTTCTTTTGCTCTTTTTCATCTGCAGATCTCTTTTCCTCCGCGTAGGGGATCGTCGGTTACTGTGCTGGTCGCACCTAGGAATAGCGAAAGTAAGGAAAATGGGAAGGTGCCTCTTTTTTTTTCATTTTTATTTTTTTCTTTCTTTTTTTTGGTGTTTCTCTGCACATGTGTGTTTTTCGTTCTTCAGTGGGAGGGCGATGGACATGGCATCTCTCTCTCTCTCTCCCTCCTTTTTTTTTTTTGATTTTGCCTCACGTGCATTCCGTTGACGCCTCGGCTCCCCCTCTTCTTTCGTTATCTTATTCATGTCATATACGTATCCGTGCGTGTACAAAAAGGTGGGAGGTGAAGAAAGAGGCACACACGCACACACGCACACACAAACACAGAGTTTCATATATTTGTTGGGCTTGGCACAGGTGTATATAAACGAGTCATTGAACATTCAATGTCCTTCGTGCAATTGTCATCCACCGGTCGTGTGGCCTGCGGGGGGTCATTTATGGACATTTACGGAAGGCGCCCGCCTGCGACGATTCAGGCGGTTTATCCAACCGGTCTTGTGTCACCCCCGTCGTTGATGTCATGGAGCGCTTTTCCAACACCCAAGAAAGTGCGCGCACGGCACGCCTCACACGGCGACACGAATGAAATTGCTGCCGGAGAGCATGTGGCACTTGCCTTCTCTCACGTAGCTGATGCCTCGTCGCAGGAGTTATTTTTTGCCGTGGGTGTCTTCCGCTGCGACACCTGGGCATTGCAGTGGGCCGTCCGCTCGGACTCACTGGGAGACGGACGGCGTGTGTGTGATGTGTGTTGTCTGAGTGCACACACTGTTGTCTTTCTTGAGAGCAACGCAGGCGGAAAGAGAGGAAGCAGGAAACAACTCCACGTTGCTTCCAGGGCGGAGGTTCCCCGTGTGGCAAGGCGAGAGAACCGTCAGTGGCGGTCCTTCTTGACAAAAGCCCATCGTGTCGAGACAAAATTTGAGAGCGAGGACGTTCACAGCATTCAGGCTCTTTCGGCGACCTCGTGCCTGCTTTTGACGGGCGCCGGTCGGCTTATTCGTGTCACGGTGTCGTTTGCTCCGCATTTGGAAGCAACATCGGAGGAGGTGGAGGTTGAAGGAGGCCGGATCGCGCCACGGGCTAACAGCACCTGCACTTTGGTGCTCTCGAGCGCGACAGGGAAGGAAATGGAGAGCTCATGTTGCTACGCGGCTGTGTTTGCCGCGGGCAGCCCCACATGTCGGGTAATGAAACTTGTGAGTTCGGATACAGCAATGAAAGCGAGCAACCCTCAGTCAATCTCACTGCCTACAGGGGCAACAGTGGAACGGGTCGAATTTGCTGGGCCACATATCCTCGTTCTGATACTTGCCCTTGATAATAAAACTGCCTTTGCTCTTCACATGACTTGTCTTGTGCCCTCAGAGTCATCATCCTCATCATCATCCGAGAGTCTCTTCAACTGTGTTTCCTTTGCGCCATTGCGGATGACGGCGCAACGAGTGCCGCTGGCAACAATGTACTGCTCAGAAAAAGAGACGCACGTTGTGCTGGTGAGTCGCCGCCGCCGTGATGATTATTTTGATGGGCAACATGAACACAACGTGAAAAACAATGGCATCATCAAGAACAACGAGTCATTGTGGTGGCGTTTTTTCGAGTACGCTGAGCTACCGTTGCAGAATGGGCCTTACACAGAGGAAGAATTCCGAAGCGCGACATGGTGTTCCCTCCCGGAGCCGTGCCACACTGTCCTTCCCAGCGTCGTGTCAAGGATTGCCAATGGGGATGATAATGATGACGATAACAAGGAGAATACCGCTGCTCACTTCCAGCAGGACCTGGCATTGCTGACTCATTCTCAGTCTGAAGGAAATTGGGAACCCATCCGTCTGCACTACGCGTTAGCGGCGACCTTTTCGCAGGAAACGGCGTCAGGGGGAAAAAATAACAAAGTTGCCGTCAACGTGTTTGCGATTGAGACCGCACCGTTTGTGCATACGCGGCTGGTGAAACAATGGCATAATGCCACGCGCGGCCTTAAGTTTTTGCTTGACGGGGCAAATAACACCGTGGGGGGAAGCGAACCGTTCGCCGTCTCTTGGAACCCGCGGCACATACGACGAGCGCTTCAGCTGTTCAGCCAAGAAGGCCTTCGTGTGCTTTTTGGTCGTCTCGCCAACGCACTCCGCGTTTCCACCGAAACAAGCAATGCGGCAAGTCTCTTCTACGGAGCGGCGGCCACCGCCGTGACGGATGTGGCACTGCAGGCCGTCACACTCTCTCGCCAGGTGGGCGCAATTCTATCACCGGAAGACGTGACGGTCGTCGCCTTGTTACTGCGGGCCTCACGTGAAACTGGCCACTTGATTGTGAACAGCACCACACGTGGCCGGCTGTTGCTTGAGAGCGCCGTAAGGAGCCGGCTGGCGAACCATGTGCTCGGTGGTGGGGAAAAGTGCCAGAAGAGAAGTCACGGCGGCAAGAATACCAATGCGAACGAAGAAGGTGAGGAGGATGAAGTGGGGGCAGAATTTGTTCACGTGCCAACGGAGTTGCGGGTGGAGCGTGCGTTACGCACCAAATATGCCCCGAACGCATGGACGCAGCATTTACTACGGAAAAATAACGAGTACAGTGCAGTGGTGACAGGTGCCCTTCAACACCTCAACGCCGTTGCCTCCCTGCAGCAGCAGCAGCAGCAGCAGCAACAACAAAAACAAGAAGAACAGCAAGAAGAAGAACACGCGGGGCGGAGCGGTGATGGGACATTACGACCCCACCAGGATGAAGAGATGACGGCGACGCCCGCATTGTTGCCGGACTGGATGACGCTGGGACGGCGGGCGCATGCCAACGCTGCCTTCGCGGAGTACGAGTCTGCCCTGTTGCATCCCACCGCCAAAGCCCGGTAAACGTCCACTTCCACCACGAACGGGAGGGCCAAAGCGACGACAGTCTCCTCCCATTCAAGGATAAAAATGGGCAAAAAAGAAAGCAACCGAACTTTTAAGAGAGTAGCAGCCCGTCCCCTCTTTCTTTGGCCGACGACCATGCGGGCAGGCGATAAAAGAGAGTGGGGAAAGCGAACCACAAACATCGCGCTTCCCGTTGCAAAGGGCCCTTAAAAAAAAAAAAAAAAATAAATTCTTTCCGTTTAATACACGCGAGAAAAAAAGTGCGGGAAAAAAAAACAAAAAGAAAATTACCGGCAGGCAGACGCCAAGTAAGAAAACAAAAATAGACTTTTGTGAACGGGCATGCATTCATCCTTTGCGTGCGTGCATTTGGGGGGATGAGTTGGGGGAGGGGAGAGGACTCCACACACACACGCGTCCCTTTTTTTTCCATTTGCTTTTGGGAACTTTCTTCTTTTTGTTTCATTTCATTTTATTTTTAAATTTTATTTTTTTATCATTTCTTTTGAATGCTGCTCAGTGGCTGTGTTCACACGCAACGAGAGCCAAACACAATCAGTGAGAAGAAGGGGAGGAGGTTTTTTTGATTGGGGCCAAGAAAATACACACACACAAAAAAAACAAAAACAAATACGAAAACACCTTGAGGGGAAGTTGACTGAAGCGGAGAGGAATTCAAAACACAAACACCGTTGTACAGGGAACATATACATAGGGAGGGAAAGACAAAAGATATACGGACATTTACTCGGAGAGGAAAGACAATTCAGGAGAGGATGGCGGATGTAGATGAGTGGAGAGGGGCCAGTTTTAAGCAAGAAGAAGATCACAGCGAGGCCACCACGAGCCTTCTTGAAAAGATCAATGCGACCACCATTCCTGTGTTACTGCGTAGCACCAATAAGAGCTTGCAAGATCTTGTAGACGAGTTACTAACCCTTGAGAAGATTGCTCGCCTCGGTGGGGATGCACTTTCCACCCAGCGGCTTGCTGTGGAGGTGATCCGCGTTTACCGTGTGCAGGGTGACTACGCCAAAATGTTGCTTGTGCTTGAGATGCTCATGCGAAAACGGGGCCAGACGAAAATGACACAAAGTGCAATGATTGCGGAGTGCGCTGTGATGATATCCGACGCCTCACTACCAAAAGAGAGTCGCCGAGAAGTGCTGGAGCGGGTCGTGCACTTGACAGACAGCAGGATTCATGTAGAGCTCGAACATGCTCGTTTTGCCATTGACTTGGCAAAACTCATGGAGAGCGAAGGGCAGAAACGTGCGGCGTGTGACTTGTTGAGCGGGCTACATGTTGAAACTATCACCAACATGCCACGTGCCGAAAAGCTGGACGCACTGAATTGCCTTATCCGGCTCTGCCTGGAGTTGGAGGACTATGAACACACACCGCTTGTGTCGCGCCGAATTAACCACCGTGCGTTGGCTCGTGCAGAATCGCGGGAGGCCAAGTTGACGTACTTTGAGCTCATGCGTCATTACTACACGCAGCGTAAATCGTACTTCAATGTGGCGCGTTGCTGGTATGAGACATACCTCACGGAGACCGAGGAGGGCGCCAAGCTCGCAGCCCTCAGCAGCATGGCTGTGCACTACCTTATTGCCGAGCACGCCACCCCAAAGGCCTTGGAGGATCTCGCCGAATGCACCGCCTTTTCTCCCGCCACGTATTTCGCCGAGCGCAATGCTGCCATTCAGGGCATCACGACTAAGTTACAGAAGCAGCTGGAGGATATCCCACAACTGCAGTATCTTCTGCAGCGGTTTACCAGCATTGAGCTCATCCGCGAGAAAGTTGCTCGGGAAGTGGAGACGCTGTGCGCAAACCATCCACAACTTGCGGGTCACGAGGATCGCCAGTTGCTTCTGCGAAGCCGCTGCAGTGAACACGACCTCCTTGTTGTTTCACGTTTTTATCGCCGTCTGCGCCTGGACCGCCTTGCCCAGCTTGTCGGCCTTACGCCAGAGCACACAGAGGAGTTCCTCATGATGATGGTGGCCTCCAAAACGCTCTATGCGAAGATGGACCGTGTGGATGGCCTGGTGGTCTTTGAGGCAAAAAAGAATGCCACGGAAGTCATCAACGGCTGGAACGAGGCGGTGGAACGAAGTGTAGCGCTGTTGGACAAGGCGTCACACCTCATTGTGAAGGAGCGGATGCTGCACAATATATCCGCTGCGCGGGCGCAGCAGGCAGTGACCCTGTAATGTTGTGTGTGAAGGGAACGCATGGAGGAGACTGTGAATAGACACCCGTGCACGTCGCTTTTTTTTTTATTCCTCGAGCAACCAAGCAGAAATGGAAAGAGAATGAAATGACGAGGACGATCCAGGGAACGGGGAGGGTAAGGCACAGGAGGCGGGCTTGACTTAGGAAATGCAAGAGAGAAAGAAGGAGAAGGAGAGAAAAGGAGAGGTAAAAAGGAAAAGAGAAGCAATGCAAAAAACAAGCATTCAAAAAAAAAAAAAAAAAAAAAAAATGACAAACAGACAAGAAGGCAACGATGAAGTGATGTCTAACGTCGCATCCCTGCGGATGGTCTCATTTAAATGGCGGCGGAAGAGGTGGTGAGGCAACTCCACTGATGCTTTCATGCAGAAAACTTTTTTTGTTTGCGTTTCTTTCACGATGTGCCCATCGGCTTTTTTTACCTCTGTGAGTGTTTGCGTCTTTGTGAAGCATGCGCCCTGCCTCACCCAACAGAAAAAAAAAGGAGAGAAGGGTGGTGAGAGCGTGTGAATGCGAGAATGGGTGGCTGAGGCGGGCACTCTTGTGACCGAGGGGAATGCACATGGGAAGCCGCCCACTGGGCGGCGGGGTGGATGCGAGTGCCCCGTGAAGTGTCATGGGGAGGGGAGGGGCAGGCAGGGCTCATTTATTCTTATTTTTTATTTTGACCCCTACTGTTCTCATTGTTTTTGTCTCTTTTTGTGTGCGGCATAAGGGGTTGTGGCGATAACAACAACAACAACAAAGTCAAAACAAAAGGAGAAACCAAAAGAAGGATCAGCAAAAACAACAACAAGAAAAACAAGAAAAATAAGACAGGCAAGACGACAGGGTGTTGTCTTTGAGGGTGGGGGGTGGAAGCATTGACATAGAAGCGGTGGACGCCATCGGGCAGTGGAGGCAGCAAGGAAGGAAGGAGAAGACGGCGGGGGAGAAAACATACTTGAATACATAAGTAAACAAACACACATATATATATATATATATATAAAGTGACGGCGACAATTCTTTCCTTCACGTTCATTGGAGGATCCTGCAAAGAAAGGAGGGGGAAGGAGGCACATCAACGTCATCAAGATTAGGCGACGCACGGGTAGAAAAAAGAAAAAAAGAAAATAAAGCAGGAAAAGCAACAAGAAGAGGATCGGCAAACAACAGCAGCGTGCGTATGCCGGAGTTGAGTTACATGTTTTCCAGTGTGAGTGAACCACGTGCATTGGGCGCCGCCGACGATGGACAGGTCATCACTTCGCACTCAAACAGCAGCAACAACAACCACAACAACTTTTATCCTCTTTATTCAGCCAGCGGCTCGACGAAGGTGTCAAATTATGGCGGCCATTTTGAGAACAACGGTAACAACATTATCAGCATGAACAACAAAAGCGATGTTAACGCGAATACGTGCGGGGATAGTGGAGAGAAGGGTAATGAAGGTGAGAAATGGATTTGGGTGCTCGATCCGCTCACACGCAAACTACGTGTGCCACTGTCGCAGCTTGTACACACTCAGGCCACGGCTACCACAGGGACTGTACCCTCGCTCTGCATTTCCTTCTTGGAGGGGCGCTGTCGTCACCAGTGGTGCAGGCAGGCGCATGTGCTTCCCAGCGCCATTCCGCAGCTGCGCCATGAGGCGCTACATGCCCCGACCTGTTGCCGGCTACACGATGATCCTCACGACACATCTGTCTTGACAAGCCGTTTTAAATACATTCGCGTCGTTTAATAATAATAATCCAATTGGGGACAATGAACATGATTCAAGCGACTTAATTTCTACAGATCGTGTGGCTCAAACAGTGGGTCTGCTTCGCTTCATGGCGCATAGTGTGCCTTCCCCAAAGAAGCGAGTCTATCCCCAACTCTCCTTGAAGGAAGGAAGCAATAGCAGGTCAGGGAATATTAGGGACACGGCGGGAGAAGCAGACAAAAGCCCTGGAAAGGCCACAGCCAACGACAGGGACGATGATCGTGAGCTTTTATTGGATCTCCCTGCCAAACTTATTTGTAGACTTCACCTTTCTCACCGCTGCCGCTACTTAGAAGATTGCAACAACATACACATCTGCCGCGAGTGCGAGTTGCGTCTTCAGCCACCGTCACATGTTATGGCTATTTTGTCCAATGTGGCGCCTGGAACACGTACCATCACCGTCGGTGACACATGCTACGCCGCAACGCAGCTCGCTGTTGGTGAAGTCACGGACGAGGAATTCCGCGCCATCTGCGACCAGCAGCGACATGCCGTTGCCACCCGTTCTTTGGATGAATCCCCGAGCATCGCCCCCCACAGGAGCCCACTGATATACAGCGGAAGTGGGGCGTCATCGTTTACAGGCGCCAGTGTGTCCCCGCCGACGTTTTCTACAGGAAAATGGGGCCTCGAAAACAAAGTTAATGCCGCCGCCACCACGAACAGCGCTGCACATGGTGACCAGATGTTTTTTCCTGGGAACCCGGAAAATGGGCGGAGTGACGGAGACTCACCTATTCCCACCGGTGCCCTACCGCAAGGGGGGCCACCACACACGTCAGAGGCGGTGACACGAGCGCTTCGCATCTACGACGTTCGTCCCAAAGCCGCTCAAAACAACGTATCCAACAATCATTTTGCAAGCAGCAACATCGGTGGGTCCGGCAACAATATTGTGAAAAATAGCATGGGCGGCAGCGGGGCGAAGAACAATTGCTGTGGCGGTGGTGGCGGTCACAACAGTGGGGCCGGAGCCAAACACAACGGCAGTGGTGGCAACGGGGGTATCCGGGGCGCCAACGGCAGTAGCGGTTACCACCACTCCCACGGCCACCATCTTTTCAACAAGCATACAGCACTGAAAGGCACAAATAGTTAGTGGAAGTCGGTATTGGTCATAATACGAATACACTCCTGTGTATTGAGCGACAACGCCGAAGGAAGAAATGAGGCAACTACAACAACAAACAAAAAGAAAAAAAAGAAGGGAACTCAGCGGATTCCAACAGTCGCGGAAAAACGAACCAAATATACAGACATAGAGATACAAAAAGAAATAAATTTCAGATAAAAATAAAAAAGAACCACGAGGGGAGTACGTATCGCCACCCCTGCTGGTATTTACTTTACGGTATTCCTGTTTGAGTGTTTGTGTGGCCTTCTGAATTGTCAAGTGATGAGTTTTTTTCTTTAAATAAAAGGAGAGTGTCTTGTGTTGGGGGCGACGTCCAACCAAGAAGAAATGAGGAACAGACAAACAATTTTTTCTCAGGCCGGTGATAATTCCTTTCACGATTAAAAGGAAAAGGAACGTGAAGCGAAACTCCAATGGTGGTGTAAAGGATTCGAGTCAAATAAACCAAGAGAGAGAGAGAGAGAGAGACATTCACACAGAGCGAGTGATTGACTGAAGCAACATGAACAAGACGAGTAATAAAAAGAGAGATGGAGCGAGGCAGTATATATGACAAGAGAAATATGTAAGCATGTATGTTTCTCTTTGCCTTTTTTTTTCTTTTTCCTTTCTTTTTTACATTCTGTTTCTTTTCTTTTTTTTTTTTTAGTGTGTGTGTACAAAAGTACACATAGATATGTGTACGCACATGCACGAACTGTTTGATTTCTTATATGGAGACTATATTTATATATTTATATATTGGCCCCTCTGTGTAGTCGTCATCGTTCTACTCCTCCCTTTTCCACCCCTTTATTTCACTGACTTTTTTTTTATTCCCTTTTTTTTTTTCTTCTTGTATTTATATGTTTATTTATTTATTTATTTATTTATTTATGTGTGTGTCTCTGTGTGTATTTATGTATGTATTTTGTAATGGTTCTCTGGCCCTCTCCCACACTTTCTTGAAGTATTTTGTGGTTGCCTATGACGGAGGCGCCGCCGTCTTTCTGTTTGCAACTTTTATCTTGCACGTCACGGCATGTGTGTTTTGGTGCTGAACAAGAAAAAGAAAAAGAGGAAAAGAGAGGGGGGTGGACTGGCGGCAGTGCACATGTCTGATGGGTCCGCCGTTGTTGTCTGCGTGTGGCATTCATTGCGTAGGCGGGGTGGAGAAAACAACAACCACAGAGATGAAAACGGCGGCAACGGCGTTGAAAAGGGGAGGGGAGACGGGGAACAGTAAAACGAATTACAGCAGTAAAAAAAAAAGGCAAAACGGAAATCAAAACGAAAGAGAGAGAGAGAACGAAGGAAGGAATGAAAGGAGGACACAACAGGGGAATGACGAGGGGCGGGGGGGGGGGGTGGAGAAAGGGACCGGGGGGTAGGAACGAAATTCGACGGTGAGGACCCGTGAGTTAATTTTTTATTGCATGAAATGATTTTGGGTGCGTGGAGAGGCGGCGATGACTTTTGGTCCCCCCGCGAAAACTCCTTTCAAAAAAACAAAAAAAAACACAAAAAAAGAAAACGACAACAAAAAAAGGGGGTGTTATTTGCCGCTTGCGCGCGATCGGGTAAGCGCGGTGTGCGTGCGCGAGAAATGTATAGGGTTTACATGCATGCGCCTTTCTTTCTTTCTTTCTCCCTCGACTGGGGCGTGGGCATGTGATGTGGCCATGGGGGGTGTTTTTTTTTTTTTTTTTTTTTTTTTCGCACGTACAAGGAGCCTCTCGGAAAGACAAAAGGAAAGCGGAGGCCAGAAAAAGAGAATGCGGGGAAAACAAAACAAAAGGGGGGCGAGGGGGAATAAAGAAGCAAACCAAAAGAAAAGAAAAGAAAAAAAAGAAAAGAGCGCATAAATATATTGGCGCTATTTTTCTTTTCTTTTCTTTTGGTTTGCTTCTCAGTCTTTTTTCTGTTTTTTTTTTCTTTTGAGTTTTATTCCTTTGTTATTATTATTATTATTTGTTGTTGTTGTTGTTATTATTATTGTATGGGCTCTTCTATTTGTATATTTATTTTTGCCTTTGCCTTTGGCTTTTTTTTTTTTTTTGTGTGTGTGAAGTTTATTGTTTTTGCCGCTTCTCTTCCCTTCTTCTTCTGCGTATGTATAATATATATATATATATGTACATGCACAGCCCACTACACACATATATAATATGCATACATGTGTGTGTGTGTGTGTGTGGGTACGGAGGCTTCTTTACACTCTCACCAAATTGATCCCTTTATCTAGAAGTAAAAAATTTTTTTTTTTGTGTCTTTGTGTGTGGGACTTTCCTTTCATTTTTCTTGCTTTTTTTTTTTTTTTTTTTTGTGGATCTAGTTCTTTGTTCTTCGCTAATAACATTGCTAATGATCCAAAAGGCAGACGTCTGCTACTGCCATTTACCCGGTGACTGTTACTGCGAGGAAACAAATTTTTTGGTTTTGTGGTGTATCTCTGCTTATGTTACGCACATGTGGATGGATGTTTACTGAAATTGTGTGTGTGTATCTGCGTGTGTGTCTGCGTCTTGTCCCTCCTTTTTTTTTTTTTTTTTGTGGCTGCTGTTGTTGTTGTTGTTGGTGTTTTTCTGAATTTTTTTTGTTTTTTTGTTTCTTTTTGAATTGTTTGCTTCGGGAGATGTATACATGGATTTTATCCATATACGTAATATATACTTATATATATATAATATATAGAGGGAGAGAGAGTGTGTGTGGCTGAACGAGCGGGAGGGAAGGAGCTGAGAATGAGCAGCGACAATAAAGGCAAGACAAGTGGCCCATCTCATGTGCGACCTGTCATATCATCTGGCGGCTTTGGCAGTCTGCATGAAGAAGGGGCTGCCATGGGGGAAGATGGCAGCACGCCACAGATAACCGACTGTGATGATTTTGTTGGTGCACTTGCAGTCTTTGAGCGTGAGGTCCGTGGGTTGGCAGAGAAGTTGGCCGACGAGCGCCAATTGCGGGATAATGAGGCGTCGTCTGTGCTTCAGACTGCGCGTGACGCTTTGGTATTAGAGAGGGATGGGGAGCAGAGAAGCTTCAGTACAATGGCCGAATTGGGAGGACGGATAGCAACGAGGGCAACCACACGTAGTCCTCTGTCTGCTGTCGCAAGGAAAAGTGTTCGTCCACCTTTTCCAGCCCCGTCGGTCAGGGCGCCTTCGGTGAAGAAGGGTGCTGGAGACAAGAAGACGGCGACAAATCCGTTGCACGACGCGTCTTGCGTGCGGACTGTGGCGCTCGATGTGTGGGCCACCCTTGGATTTTTTTCGCTGCCCCCACTTGGGGCCGATCAGCCGGTGGAATGGGCGGGAGGCCACGCGTGGAGATCGTTGGGCAGCGAAATGTCAGACTTCTCAGCCCCACCAGTGGAGCGAAGTGACGGGGAGGAGGAGGACGAGGAGGAGGAGAGCATCTTTGGCTTTGTCGAGGCCCTTGTAAGATACTACCAGCGGGAAATGGTAGCCATGGGTGCTGTGTCGGGGAACGCAGAGGAGCCGCTGAGCGACGAAATGCTTTGCAATGGTCTCTGGCAAGTGGTCTTTAATGCATTGTTCTACTGCGTCACAGTTTCGAGTTCTGACCTCACACACACCTCGAGAGATTTGGAGTGTCTTTCTGGTGGTGTGGAGGACCGCTACGACGATGTGTACACATCCTTCTCCTCATCATTATCTCCAGGGAAAGAAGAGGGCAGAGGTGGGAAGACGGGGGAAGGAGAAAACACAGGCCGCAGATGTCTCCCCACAAAACTTCATTGGAGCACGCGAGCGGCATCGAAAGGAATGAACAGGAATCGGCCTCAGGAACAACACGAACGATCGGGCTGTGGTTCCCAAGGTCGTTTAGTCCATGCTGCTCCAAGAGGCTCCCGCCGCCACGCCGAGTTGGACGAGGTGGTGGAAGAAGGAATACACGCATCGTTTTTATCTTCAAGACGTGGTGAGTTGGTTGATGGACGCCGACGCCGCTCGACTCCATTTCGCGAGCGACTTGCGGTGCCTCCTACGATCAAATTGTGGTACTTTGTGGTTAGCACATTTGCCCGACTAGGGTATAGACGAGACGCATTCTACGTGCAGACCCCTCTTCGTGGCTCTATTCATGAGTTGTTGCTATCGCTTCTCTGGCTCACGAAGGAATATCGACTTGTGGCGGTGGCCGAATATGTGCAGCTCCAGAGTATGTACGGGTTTTTGCTTCAACAGGGTCCCGTCATTCATGAAGGCAGCAGCCACCCCAATGTGCATCACTGTAATCCAAACGATGATGGTTTCGACCCAGGGGTGGAGAAAGGGTATGTTTCCTTTGCACAACCGCAAGACCCTGAGGGAGAATCGCTGCTGCGTTGTTTCCCCGCGGCAGTTCCGTGGCCGCCCGCGTCGTTTGTAGAGAAGGAGCACATTGCGCACCGTTTGGAGCAAATACGGCAGATTCTTCCCACCCTGTTGGATGAAAAGGACGCGCCTGTGATGCGCTTGCCTGATCTCACGCGCCGTCTACTCTCCATGCGGCATCTTATTTCGCTTTCTATGAATCGGCTCGAGTGTGCCCTGCATCAGCGGACGGAACAAACCGTCTCTTTGGGATTGCACTCCGTCCTTGATGCTCAGCTGTGTCACCCTACGCACCATGGCGTCTACCGTCAGTTGTGCGCTGGCTTGCAGCATTTACTTGGAATCGAAGCACGCGTGCGAGAAACCACACAACAGCTTTCCCGCTTAGGTTCCTTGGTGGCAAGAGCCGTGAGACTGGAGGAGACGTCCTCGCGGCAGCAGCGAATTCATGCGGCGGCTTTAAAGGCACTCGAGGAAGACGAGATGACATGGTGGCAACCACCACAAGACGGAGAAGGGGAGGGTGATGCCTGTGCTCGGGGGAATTTGAACGAGGTCTTCATTCGTTTTCGTGCGACCGGGGTGCGAGAGCATCTTACCGATCTGTGGGCCTCGTTGCGTCGCCGGGCTCAAGTAGGAGGGGGAAGAAGGGGCGGCCTTAATGGAACAAACGAACACATCACAGAAAGCGCTGCGATGCAGGCGCAACTGGAGGAGAAGGTGCGACAAAATATGGAGACCCGCTACGCGTTGCATGCTGCACTGAAGGCGGAATCGCTGAAGTGGCAACTCTCCAATGCACAAAAGGAAAAGGACGTTGATGATGAGAGAGGCGGAGATGACGAGAGCGATGAAAACCGTTTTGGTTTAACAAATGGTGAGGAAAGAGAAAAGATTCTGCATGCACCGCGGGGGTTGGATAGCGGAAGTGGCGGCGCACATTTGAAAAAGAAACATATGAAAGTGAGGACATCGTTTGTAAGGTTTGATCTTGTAACGAGCCATATTTCCCCGCACCGCCCGCAGGCCACCGCTGTGGGACAACCGGCAGAGAACGCGACAACTTCGGCCTGTTTGGAGATTGAACGGCTGCAGGAGGCTTTGTATGCGCTGGACCAGCAGGAGGAGTACCAGGAGAAGCGTGCGGAGGAGCAGCGGCTTCAGCAGGATGCGGTGCAGCTTCTCCATCAACAGGGGCTGCGCGTTGTGCATCTGAGGCGGTAAATGAACCACGGCAGGCCCTGTCAGCTTCTTCTCTGCATGCATACGTACGCGCTTTCTTTTTTTTTTTTTTGCCTGACGCACAATTGTCATCATTAGCTTTGGTGGGCCTTTTGTGTCTTCTGAAAGTCCCCCCAGCTAAACCCCCGTCCGTCTTCTTTCCCCGACACCCGGCGACGGCCCATTGTCTGCGTCACGTCATCTGTGTCTGGGCCTGGAGTATGAGGTTTGCGGCGGGCACGGCCGCCATTTTGTTCTTTTTTATCTTCTGGTTGTTCTGATTTTTTTTTTCTCCGCTTTGATCTTTTGGAACTCGCCGCTGGTTCTGCGTGGGGCGGTTGGGTGGGAGCACACAAACGGAGCCGCAAGGAGTTCACTAAGCGGCTGTCAGAATACACTGCGTGATATCGATCTTTAATTTTATGGGGCATAACAGGAGGAGAAGCCTCGTGAACCATTTTTAATTTCATTTTATTTTATGCCTGTGTTTCTGCGTGGCAAATTCCCACCGCTGTTTCTTTCCTTTCCTTTTTTTTTTTTTGTCTTTCCGCTGCCACTTCGTCTTTGAGTGCTGGTGGTAGCAGGAAAGGAGACACGTGGCCGGGACGCCACTTTCCCGAGCCAGGTCCATGGCGTCTGGGTACAAGGTGGTTCTTCTTGGTGAGGGACGCGTGGGAAAGACGTCATTGGTCTCCCGCTTTGCGCACGATGCCTTTGACGAGAACCAGAGTAGTACAATTCAGGCAAGCATGTACACAAGTGCGGACGTGCCTTTACTGGATGGCAGCGGTGCCAAGGTGAAAATCAATGTATGGGACACCGCGGGGCAGGAAAGGTTTCACGCACTTGGTCCCATTTATTACCGAAATGCTGACGGGGCGTTGCTTGTGTATGACATCACGGATGCCGACACCCTTGAGAAGGTGCGACTGTGGATTAGGGAGCTCCGGGCTGTTGTGGGGGACCAGATTCAGCTTGTAATTTGCGGCAACAAGTCCGATCGTGAGGAGGAGCGCGATATTAGAAAGGAGAAGGCGGAGGAGTTTGCAAAGTCACATGAGGCACTGCACTTTGTGACGAGTGCAAAGACAGGCGAAAATGTGGCGGTGGCGTTTCAGGCTTTGGCGACGGCAGTAGCGACGGCATCGGGAGGACGTGGGAGTGGCGGTGGGGCTACGAACACCGGCGGCACGAATAACGCTGCAGTCACCGCAGCGAGAGGTCGGCGTAAGCGACGTGGTCTTCTTCGCATTGAGGATGACTGGGAAGAGGAGCGGCTGGCCGCTGGCGGGCAGAATAAAGCCGAAAGGGGGAGTCATGCATGTGATCGTCCTGCGGCGCGTGGGGCAACGGGTGTCTCCGCCCCCTCTGGTGAGGATTACACGTGTAGTGGCACCCAGAAATCGCGTAGGCCGGGGCCTGCCACGGTGAATTTAAGTGCGGCGGCAACCCATACCGCGAGGAGACCGTCTGGATCGAGTGGGTCTTTGGGCTGCTGCGGGTGAGGGGGGAAATAAATTCTTCGATGAAGAAAAAAGGAGAGAGAGAGAGAGAGAAGGGGAAATGGCTGCTGCCCCTCTTTTTTTTTTTTTGACTACTCATCTGCGGTGCGTACATCCATTTACCCATCCATATATTTATGTGTTTATTGCGGCTTTTCTCCATATAAAAATACACATATACATGTGTGTGGGTGTAGATACATATATATATATATGGGAGATCCAGTGAGAGGATGACGTGTACAGTTCCTGTCAGTGACGGCACATTCGCAGTCCCCTTTTCCCCAAAAAAACGTCCTGCAGAACTCTGCGTTTCTTTTCGTTTGTCCCGTTTCTTCCACTCATTGCTGCTGTGGAGAAGAAATCCCCCCTTTTATTTATTTCTATTTTTTATTTTTGATTTATTTGCTTTTGTCCAAAGGAAACTTAGAGCACATCATCAATAAAAACAACAAAAACAAATCAGAAAAAAAAAAAAAATAATAAAAATAATAATTGAAGCAAAAACACACAAACGCACACACGCCGCTGCAGCAGCCGCAGCAGAGGGGCCAACAAAACAGAGGAGGGAGGGAGGGAGAAGGGACACACAAAACACACACACACACGAACTCCTTTTTTTTCCCCCTTCTTTTTCTCAGGGGGTTAAATCAAAATAAATAAAAAATAAAAAATTAAAATAAAAAAAAGAAAAGAAAAAAGAAAGAAGAAACAAAACAAAACAAAAAAAAAAGAGAAGGAAAAGAAAAGGGTCAGGGACGCGTGCAACAGAATATATATATATATTGAAGGAACAACCGCAACCGCAACAGGCAGAGACGCATACAAACAAACATACATACGGCACAGTACAGTGCAGCACAGGGAATTGTCAGGTTGACCGTGTCGTCCGGCTGCAACTTTTGCCCCCCTTTCCCCTCTTCTCTTCCTTTGACTCTTTTACGTATATTACACAAACACCCACATCCACATATATACATACATTACAGTGGCTGACTGACTGACTTGTCTGTCTGTCTGTCTGTCCAGTGAGTTGTAGTAAAGGCGTAATTATCACACGTGCTGTAAGGCACCTATTATTTTCCCATTTCAACGGAGAAACTAAGAAGTGAAACGAAGAGAAAAGGAACATTTGAAAAGAACAAAAACGGCAAAAAACAAAACAAAACAAAACAACAAAACAACAAAACAACAAAACAACAAAAAAACAAAAAAACAAAAACGATAACAAAAACAGCAACAAAAAACAATACATATATACATATATATACATATAAGAAAAGTAAGTGCAGAAGGAATTTGAAACAGACAAAAAAAAGGGAGGGGGACATTAGAAAAACAAAAAACAAAAAAAGAAGCGAGCGGGTATCAGTGGGGTGTGCGTGTGTGGGGTCACAGGCGGATAAGGCGACACAGCGGCAGCCACAGCCGGGATTGCAAGACACTCGTAGAAGAAGAGAAATCACTGGCAACACGACGAGTGTATCAATAAGGGATTTCGCAAATAACTAGTCGTAATTCCGTTATTTTCGTTGCACGATGCTGTACGAGCACACCGTCGACATTAGCAGCTCTCGCGGGGCCACCGTCCGGTACCTTATTGCAGCAGCCACTAAGAGTACTCTGCAAACGACCCTACAGACATTAGAAAAACTAGCCGCGCAGTCAGTTGAACTTCACCGTTTTGTAATTATGGCGGCAGTTTCAGCCATGCGGAAATCTCCTCAGAACGAAGAAAAGTGCGCTCTTGCCTCCAAACTTGTGAGCACCGCTCTGGAGAAGAGCAACGCCCTCACATTGGTGGCCACCGCCCTTGAGGAGTCACCGACGCAGGTGACGAACGAAGTACTCACCAACCTTATGGTAAAGGATCTGAAACTCTCGCCCACGCAGCAGCTACAGTTTGCCATGGGGCTATTTCTTGGCAGCACAAAAGGCAAGGAGGCGGCAACGGCGTTTTTGAACACATTTGGTGTTTCTCCAGCCACATTGAAGGATGACAATGGTAGCATGTGGGCCTTAGGCATCTTGGCACGACAGGCGGGCGGCATGGAGTCTCTAGACACACAGCTGTCAAGTGCATTTAACGGCGTGACGTTGTTCCCGAACAGTGGGGTCGCCGACACGCATGTTAGTCTCTCCAAGATTATAGGAGAGCTTGGGACCGCGTGTGTGGCAACCCAGGCTGACTGCCGGGAGTTACTTAGCTTTTTTCCACACGCCTTTACGGAAAGCGATGTGGCGGAGGTGTTGGGTTTTTTTGCCTCGCAGGGAAGCGCACCTTCTGACATCAACACATACAATACACTGATGTCCTTGACCGGGAGGGAGCCGACGAAGACACAGCACAGCGCCACCATCTCGCCGATACCCCTCCTCGAGCTCTTGCAAGAGCGGAGCTCGACCAAGATGGACTGGGACGCCATCCTCCGCATGCTTGATAAGCCCGGGG